CGAGCTGCCAGAGCGCACTGCTGGCTCATGTTCAGTCTCTCGTCCATCAGGACCCCCAGGTCCTTCTCTGCCGAGCTGCTCTCAAGGACCACTCCTCCCAGCCTGTACGGGTGCCTGGGGTTCTTCCGGCCCAAATGCAAAACCTTGCACTTTGCCGTGTTGAACCTCATTAGGTTCACCCGAGCCCAGCCCTCCAGCCTGTCGAGGTCCCTCTGAATGGCATCCCTTCCTTCCACCGTATCGACCGCCCCACTCAGCTTGGTGTCGTCAGCAAACTTGCTGAGGGTGCACTCAATTCCCTCATCGATGTCATTAATAAAGATGTTAAAGAGCACCGGTCCCAAGACAGACCCTTGGGGGGACACCGCTTGTTACCGGCCTCCACCTGGGCATAGAGCCATTGACCGCCACCCTCTGTCTGCGGCCTTTCAACCAATTGCTTATCCATCGGGTCGTCCACCCATCAAATCCACTTCCCTCCAATTTGGAGATGAGGATGTGGTGGGGGACCATGTCAAAGGCCTTGCTCAGGTCCAGGTAAATGTCATCGGTCGCCTTCCCTTTGTCCACCAATGCCGTCACTCCATCATAGAAGGCCACAAGATTAGTGAGGCATGACCTTCCTTTGGTGAAGCCGTGCTGGCTGTCTCGGATCACATGCTCATTCTTTATGTGATCGAGCATGTTGTCCAGGAGGATCTGTTCCATGATCTTCCCGGGCACGGAGGTGAGACTCACCGGCCTGTAGTTCCCCGGCTCCTCCCTGCTCCCCTTCTTGTATATGGGAGTGACGTGACCCTTCCTCCAGTCATCCGGGACCTCACCTGACAGCCACGACTTCTCAAATATGATGGAGAGCGGCTCGGCAACCACCTCAGCCAGCTCCTTCAGGACCCTGGGATGCACGCCATCCGGCCCCATAGACTTGTGTTCATTAAGTCGAAGGAGGCACTGTCGGACTTGCTCTGCCCTTACAGTGGGGAGGGATTTACCTCCTTGGTCCCCACATAGAGGTTTGGGGATGCAGGGCTCAGGGACGTGAAAAAGACTAGAATCCTGGCCACCAGTGAAGACCGAGGTGAAGAACTCATTCAGCACCTCAGCTTTCAATTGATTATATATGCTTACAGCTCCATAGAGCAGAGTGGCAAACTTAATTAAGGCCCAGTATGTTCTGAGCATTAGGAAAGAAAAAATGATGGAATGCGTTCCCCTGAAGAGTAGTTTTACAAGAGAAAGCATTTCTTTTTACAGAAGCAAGCTAGGAGCACCGTGAAAGTTTATAAGTATCCCAGAATATTGGCAGTCCGCCTGGACTTTCAAGGTCTTATTTTCATTTACAGCACTGATAAGCTTTCTAACGAAGCTCTCTGAAAGCAGAGAGAGATTTTTTTCTGTAAGCCAAAGAAGGGGCCTATGTCCACATTCTCCATCAAGAATGACAATGTTTTATGGGCTGGTATGGCCCAGTTCTGTGACTAGAAGGGCAGGGTGACAGGGGACCCATACCCCAGGAAAGGGAAAAGGGTGGGGAGATGGGTCTAAAAACAAAGCAGTGGCAACAGTCTGAGGAGAATCAAACTAATTTACTAAATTAGATATCGGAATGCAAGATAATGCACTATAATAGAATATAATGCAATATAAATAGAATTGTAGTTAATAAATAAAATGAGAGAGGCCGTCTGAAAACCGAAGGCCTTAATCTAATGCTGAGGCAGTACGACTGGGAGCAGAGATGAGCCAGAAGATCAAAAAGGAGGGCTCAGGTGATCTATGAACAGTTTTTATCTTTCTCTCTGAGTGGAAACGGTAACAGAACAGTGAACAGTCCTCTGGGAGATGTAGTTCTTCTCTTATGGAACATGTACCAGGAACTGGAGCATTATCTCTTTAACTCCCAGTGCACTACATGATGTTATGATGTGAAATACTGATAACAAAAAAATCATAAAACCATGACAGTCTCCAAGGATGGGGCGTCCACCATCTTTGTGGGCAACCAGTTCCAGTGCCTCACCAGACTTATTGGAAAGAAATTTCTTCCTTATATCCAATCTAAATCTCCCCTTTTAGTTTGAAACCATTTCCCCTTGTGTTATCGCAACAGATCCTGCTGAAGTGTCTGTCCCCTTCTTTCTTATAGTCTCAATTTAGATACTGAAAGGCTTCTTTCAGAGTCTCCCCGGAGCCTTCCCTTCCTCATTGTGTGCAGTGGAATTGCCAGGTCACAGCCTGAACCAGTACATGAGCGCGTGGGTGCCTACAGCAGGGGAGCCTAGATCCACCCTTCCTCTCACCGTCACAGCAGTGCTTCCAGCCATGCTTCTGGAAGCACGTATGCACTTGGAGCTTGTGCAGTTTGCCCCCCCCCCCCTTCTGGTGTGTCAGAGTTCAAACAGGAAAAGGCTGCATTCCTCAGATCACCCTTTTTTCCAAACTGTTGCTGGGAGGGGTGGGTTAATTCCTCTTTCTTTGATATCTTGTTCTGTAGCACCTGTATCTCAAATAAAGGCTCTGTCATCGCCTTTGTTTGCTTTATAGGGTGAACAGCCCCAGCTCTCTCAGCCTGTCCTCGTGAGGGAGGTGCTCCATCCCTTGGATCATTTTCATGGCTGTCCTCTGCCTCTGGATATGCTCTAATAGGTCAATGTCTCACCTGCACAAAGGACTCCACATCTAGATGCAGTACTCCAGCTGAGGTCTTACCAGCACAGAGTAGAGGGGCAGAATCACCTCTTTTGAGCTGCATGGGCATCTAGAATGTGGCTTGCGTGTTGCTGACACCAGTGACGAAATGGAACACCTACTGCCTCACTGTGCTAACATCCACTGTTTGGTCTCCGTCAACGGTCAGGAGGCATCAATGAATGTCAATGGGTGCAATTTTTTCTGCATGGAGGAATTCATTGACACACCTTTGCTTCAGCTTCATACTCGCTTCCATGTCTGGTATCATTTTGTCAGACTCCCCCTCTGCTGCCATCTGTCACGCAGCAACAAAATGCAGTGAAATATTGTTGGAAAGATTCAACCTCTACTGTCATCCTACCAACATCAATCTCTGATATTGTGGGCCGAAATAATAAAATAGGAGGCATTACTTTTGGAGCACCTTTTATATCCAATGCGTTAATTATAACTTGTTTTTTTTTTTTCCTCCTTGCACATCATAATAAAATCTCTGTTCTGTTCTGCTGTTTGTCCATTTTTATTGCTTTTGTGGTGTTGAAAGATTTGGAAAGTAGAATCTAGTAAATTGAAATTCTGAGCAAAAGGGGAAAGAGCACGTAACGCAAGACTCCTTAGAATGCCATTGTGTTATGATCAGTGCTACTTCCTAAAAATTGCAAAATGTCTTTGGTTGGAAGGGACTTCAAAGATCATCTAGTTCCAACCCCCTTGCCATGGGCAGAGTTGCCAACCACTAAATTAGGCACTAGATCAGGTTTCCCAGTGCCTGCCCCATCCAGCCTGGTCTTGTACACCTCCAGGGATGGGGCATCCATAACTTCTCTAGACAGCCTGTTCTGGCACCTCACCGCTCTCAGTGAAAAAATTCCCTCTGACATCTAATCTTCATCTTCCCTCTTTTAGTTTGAAACTGTTCTCCCTTGTCCTATCCCCATCTACCCATGTAAAAGGATGATTTCCCTCCTTTTTGTAAGCTCTCTTTAAGTATGAGAAGGCCACAATGAGATCTCCCTGGAGAGTTTTCTTCTCTGGGCTGAACAAGCCCAGCTCCCTTAGCCTGTCTTTGTAGGAGAGATGCTCTAGCCCTCTGATCATCTTCATGGCCCTCCTCTGGACCCACTCCAACAGCTCCACGTCTTTCTTATGCTGGGGGCCCTAGACCTGGACACAGTACTTCAGATGGGGTCTTACAAGGGCAGAGTAGAGGAAGACAATCACCTACCTCATCCAGCTTGCCACTCTTCTTTTGATGCCACCCAGGATACTGTTGGCCTTCTGGGCTGCAAGCACATGCTGCTGGCTTGTGTCAAGCTTTTCATCCACCAGAACCTCCAAGTCCTTCTCAGGGCTGCTCTCAAGGAGTTCTTCTCCCAGTCTATAGACATATCTGGGATTGCCCCAACCCAAGTGATTCCATCGTGTCCGTAACTGATAAAGATGTTAAAGAGTACCAGTCTCAAGATGGACCCTTGGGAGACCACTCAAAACTGGCCTCCACCTGGACATAGCCATTGACAACAACCCTCTGGCTGTGACCTTCCAAACAATTCCTTACCCACTGAATAGTTCAGACTTCAAATCCATACCTCTCCAATTTAGGGATAAGGATGTGGTGGGAAACCACGTCAAAGGCTTTGCAGAATTACAGGAAGATGACATAAGTTGCCCTTTCTTTGTCCACCAATGCCATCACTCCATCATAGAAGGCCACCAGATTGGTGAGGCACAATTTGCCTTTGGTGAGGTCATGCTGGCTGTCTCGGCTCACCTGCTTGCCCTTCATGTGCCTTAACATCTCTTCCAGGAGAATTTGTTCCATGATCTTTCCAGGCACAGTGGTGAGGCTCACTGTCCCATAGTTCCCTGGCTTTTCCTTTCTCATTTTTCTAGAAATGGGAGTGATGTTTCCCTTTTTCTAGTCACCTGAGACTTTGCATGACATCCATGAGGTTTCAAATATCGTCAAGAATGGCCTGAGACCACATCAACCAGCTCCTTTAGGATCCTGGGATGCATGTTTTAAAGCTGAAACATTGCAGATGGGTTGCGAAAATTTTACTTTTTGGTTTCTGTGGTATTATTAAAGCATAATTAAAAAGAAAAGTGGATCTTGAAAAGATGCTAAAATTAAAAGATGCGTTTGAACACATTTACTACTTTAAACCCTTAGCTGTCTAGATACAAGATTAGAGTGTGATATTTAAAGTATCAGAATTCAGGTCAAGTGATCAACTTGGAATGATGTGTTTTGTGATTTGTTTAAAGTTGGTTGTGTTTGTTTTGTTTTTCTTACTTTGTTGTTTCAGATTTGTCCAATATGTGCAGCATTACCTGGAGGGGATCCTAATCATGTCACAGACGACTTTGCAGCTCATCTTACACTGGAACACAGAGCTCCTAGAGATTTAATATCCTTTCTTAAGTTGAGGAAAAAGTTGATAGTTGTAACTACTTGTTTTGACTTTTGTAGTCAAGTGTCTATATCTGTTTTGCTTATTTTTTAGAATTGGTGTTTCGTTTTTGGGGATCTGTATATCTGAAAATATACATATATATAATCACCTAAAGCCCATGAACAATCTTTAGCTAGACAGTGTGAACGTGTGTTTGTTTTTGTTTTATTCCTGATAGGCAAACCTTTAAAGATGCTTCTGACACTAAGCTACTTCTTTCTGCACTGTTTTTACCCTCCTTGGTCATTAGTTCTGATGCCATTTAGTGTAGGTGAAAGTAGCAATCTGAATGCAGTAGTATTTTATAGATAATGATGTAACTTAAAGCAGCAAATTTCATCAAAAGTAAATGTGTTAGAGGATGCTTTAAATTTTGTTGAAATTGAGTGATTTTAAGTGTTTAATTAATTATATCACTGTATTTCAATAGGAATAGTTTCAAGCTGTTACTTGACATATTTTAGATATAACTAGAACAGCTATTAGGAGTCTTTCTAGGAATTAGGGCTATCTTTCAAATATCTCCAGAATGTGGTGGTATAACTACTCTTGATGATAAGAGCATAAACTGTCAGTTTCTTTAAACAATTTTCTTTTGTGTTACTTGCCCTTAGGAATGGTAACGTGGCTTGATTTATTGCTGTGTGTATACCTACAACGTAATTTCAGAAGGTATTCCATGGAAGTATAAGCCACCATGAAAACCTGTGATCTCTATAAATTGTTTATCTTTCTGTATCTCATTTAACCTGATGAGGTTCAACACGGGGAAAGTGCAGAGTTTTGCACTTGGGCCACAGGAATCCCAGGCATCTATACAGACTGGAAGGAGCAGTCCTTGAGAGCAGCCCTGTGGAGAGGGACCTGGGGGTCCTGATGGATGAAAAACTTAACATGAGCCAACAGTGTGCCCTTGCAGCTTGCAAGGCAAATGGTATCCTGGGCTCCATCAGAAGAGGGGTGTCCAGCAAGGACAGGGAGTGTGTGATTGTGTGATTGTCCCTCTCTACTCTGCTCTCGTGAGGCCCAATCTGGAGTACTGCATCCAAGTGTGGAGCCTCCAGTACAAAAAAGACAGGGAGCTGTTGGAGAGGGTCCAGAGGAGGGCCACAAAGATGATCAGGGGACTGGAGCACTTCCCCTATGAAGACAGGCTGAGGGAGCTGGGCTTGTTCAGCCTGGAGAAAAGAAGGCTGCGGGGTGACCTCATTGCAGCCTTTCAGGACCTAAAGGGACCCTATAAATAGGAGGGAAATCAACTCTTTGAAAGGGTAGATAACTGCAGGACAAGGGGAAATGGTTTTAAGTTGAGGGAGGGGAGATTTAGGTTGGATGTCAGGGAAATTCTTTACAGAGAGAGTGGTGAGGTACTGGAACAGGCTGCCCAGACAGGTTGTGGATGCCCCCTCCCTGGAGGTGTTCAAGGCCAGGCTGGATGGGGCCCTGGGCAGCCTGGTCTAGTATTAAATGGGGAGGTTGGTGGCCCTGCCTGTGGTAGGGGGGGTTGGAGATTCATGATCCTTGAGGTCCCTTCCAACCCTGGCCATTCTGTGATTCTGTGAACAGTGAAATTAACTTCCTACTGAAGTGAATTAATGATGTGTTTGAGTAGAATTTGCTCTTCTGGAGCTTTTCATAGACTCATTGAATCATTAAGGTTGGAAAAGACCTCTTAAGATCATCTAGTTCAACCATCCACTTATCACCAATATTGCCCACTAAACCATGTCCCTAAGTACCATACCTACATGTTTCTTGAACACTTCCAGGTACAGTGACTCCACCACCTCTCTGGGTAACCTGTTCCAGTCACCTACCATGCTTTTGGACAAGTTTTTCCTAATATCCAACCTGAACCTCCCCTGGTGCAACTTAAGGCTGTTCCCTCTCATCCTATCACTAGTTACCCAGGAGAAGAGGCTGATCCCCACCTCGCCATACCCTCTTTTCTGGTGGTTGTAAAGAGCTAAAAAGATCTCCTGAGTTTCCTTTTCTCTGGAAGAAACAGTCCCAGTTCCATCAGCTGTTCCTCATAAGACATGCTTACTCCAGCGCCTCAATGTCTTTCTTGTAGTGAAGGGTCCAAAACTCAGTACAGTACTCGAGGTGCGACCTCACCAGTGCTGAGTACAGAGGTACATTTACTTCCCTGCTCCTGCTGGCCTCACTATTTCTGATACAAGCCAGGATGTCAATGGCCTTCTTGGCCACCTGGGCACACTGCTGGCTCATGTTCAGCTGAGCGTCAACCAACACCCCCAGACCATTTTCCTCTGCATAACCTTCCAGCCACTCTGCCCCAAGCCTGTAGCATTGCCTGATGTTGTTGTGGGCAAAGTGCAGGACCTGGCACTTGGTCTTGTTGTCCCATACATGCCGTGTGATTGCACTCAAGATGATCTGTTCCATAACCTTCCCTGGCACTGAGGTCAGGCTGACAGGCCTGTAGTTCCCTAGATCCTCCTTACAATCCTTCTTGTAGATGGGAGTCACACTGGTAAGCCTTCAGTCATCTGGGACTTCTCCTGTTGACCAGGACTGCTGATAGATGGTGGAAAGAGGCTTGGCAGTCACTTCCACCAGCTCCCTCAGCACCCTCGAGTGGATCCCTTCTGTCCTCATGGAGTTGTGACTGTCCAGGTGGAGTAGGGGGTCTCTGTTTCCTTCTGAATTGTGGGGGTTTATTCTGCTCCCCATCCTAGACTTCCCAGTTAGGAGGCTGAGTACCCTGAGGATAACAGGTCTGACTATTAAAGACAGAAATAAAGAAGGCATTGAGAACCTCCACCTTTTCCTTATCCTCAGTGGTCATGTTCCCTGCCACATCCAGCAAAGGATGGAGATTCTCCTCGGCCCTCCTCTTACTGTTAATATATTTGTAAAAACATTTTTGTTTTCTTTTACTACAGTGGCCAGGTTGAGCTCATGCTGGGCTTTCGCCTTTCTAATTTTCTCCCTGCATATCCTAGAAATTTCCTTGCGCTCTCCCCAAGTTGCCTATCCCTTATTCCACAGGAGGTTAACACTTTTCTCCCAAAGTCTCAGCAAAAGTTCCTTGTTCAGCCACACCAATCTTCTTCCCCACTGGCTCATCTTAAGGCACACTTCCAGCAAACTGGGAGCTATATGATTTCCATCATTTTCAACAAGTGAAAAATTTCTTTGAAAGCATTTAATAAAATTACGTATTTAGGCCAAGGATAGGGCATTTTTTGCTTCCAGTTCTCCCAGAATTAAAGTCATAGAAATCATAGAATGGCTAAGGTTAGAAAGGACCTTAAAGATCATCTAGTTACAACCCCCCTGCCATGGACAGGGTTGCCACCCACCAGATGAGGCTGCCTAGAACCCCATCCAACATGGTCTTGAATGTCTCCAGAGATGGGGCATCCACAACTTCTTTGGACAACATGTTCCGGTGCCTCATCACCCTCTGAGTAAAAAAATGGTTCCTAACATCTAACTTAATTTTTTTTAGTTTAAATCCATTCTCCTTGCCCTATCACTATCAGACTTTGTAAAAATCAAATCTCCATCTTTTGTATAAGGTCCCTTTAAGTACCTTTAAAAGTCAAATGAGGTCTCCCCAGAGCTGCCTTTTCTTCAGGCTGAACAAGCCCAGCTGCCTCAGCCTTTCATCGTAGAAGAGGTGCTCCAGCCCTCTGATCATCTTTCTGGCTTTCCTCTGGACTTGCTCCAACAGTTCCACATCTCTCTTGTGCTAGTAGCCCCAGAAAATGAAAAGTTAAAGCATATACATAGGTTGCTCTGAAAGTAATGCTTTCTATTTATTTCCATGGAAAATACAACAGATACAAAGAGCATAACACTGTTTGATAGAGCAAATTCTCAGCTACAAAACACTGTTTTTCAACATAGTCCCCACCATTAACTTTGCATTTTTGCTAGTGATGGACAAGAGCCTGCATGTCACGCTCATAAAAGTCTACACCAGCAGAGCTGACACACTGTTTCACAGCTGTTATGATGGCATCATTGCTGGGAAAATGTTGCCCACACAGTCCCTCTTTCATTCGCCCAAACAGGTGGAAGTCAGAAGGCACCAAATCCAGACTATACAGTGAATGTGGTAGAACAGTCCAGCCAAGATTGGCAATGTGCTCTCTGGTCTTCAGAACGGTATGGGACCTGGTGTTACCATGTTGCAAGATAAATGTTGCCTTCTTCTCTGGCCTGACTCCGGAAGTTTGAGCCTTCAGCTTAGTCAGTATTGCGATGTAGCGGTGAGACTTGATGGTTTGTCTGGGTTCCCGGAAAATAAAAACCTTTCCTATCCCAAAACACAGTGCACATCACTTTACCTTCTGAGAAACATGTCTTGAACTTTTTCTTCAGTGGGGAATTCACGTCACTACATGGACTGCCATTCTGACTCTGGCTCACAGTGGTGACACCACGTCTCATCACTGGTAGATCCAGGAAACTGCCACCTTCAGCCCCATTATTAGTTCAATAGGCTCTGCAAAACTTGCATATTGTGTTCTTGCTGTTTGTGTGTATGCATGCACGCAACCCACCTGGCACAAATTTTGCAGTATTCCAACACTGCCTCCATTGATTCCAATCCACTGAAGCTGATATTCAACTCCGTACACAGTTCCCTGGTTCTAAACTGCCAGTCTGACGAATGAAGATGCTCTTCATTTCATGATGTGGCAGCTGTTCATAGCCGTCCAGAATATGGCTTGTCTTTAACATCACTGTCACTACTGCTGAAAGGCACCACCACCTCATTGTGCAGACATCCACTGTTTGGTCTCCATCAACATTCAGCAAGTATTGATGAATGTGAATGGGTGCAATTTTTTCTACGTGGAGGAATTCAGTGACACACCTTTGCTTCATACGCACTTCCATGTCAGACACCATTTTATCACACTGCCCCTCTGTTGCCATCTGTTGCACAGCAAGAAAATGTAATGGGATATTGTTAGGGAGATTCAATCTCTACTCATACCACCAACATTTGCTTCTGATATAATGAGCCAACATATTAAAATAGAAGGCAATATTTTTGGAGCAGTCCAGTATAACTTTTCCAGTTCTTTGTAATTTCCACAAATTATTTTATTTTTTTATAAAAGAGCATGCCTTTTTTTTTTCTCTCCAAGATAATATAATAGTAGGAAAGATGACTAACTGCACAGAAGTTATATGTTACTAAAAAAAAAAAGTCACTTGTATCTACTGAATGACTTTAATGAGAAGTGTTAAATTTCTTGTCAAACTCTGATATATAGAACTGATATATAGATAAGATATGTCTATATAAGACAATTGATAATACATAAGAAAACTGATCTTACTAAAAAGAGAAAAGTGTATATACACAATTACTATCTACTAAGCTCACAAAATAATGTAACAACTGGAAGTGATATTATTTTAAGAGCAAACTGAGCACAGAACAGTTGTCAAATCATCAACTATCACTATAATTTACACTTTTTTTCTTTTTTTTACTAGTTTAAGTGGGTTTAAAATGTTTAGTTGAAAACTGAACACAAATGATAGGATTATAGGACATTTCTAGAAATGCAGGACAAGGGGGAAATAAAAAAAGTGGGTTTGTTTTTTTTTTAATGCTCAGAGATGAACATACATTTGCAAGCATGTACATGTTAAGAATAAAGACACATAGCAAAGAATTAGAGTAATGAAAATTATGACAGATATACAATTAATTTATTTTTAAGGATAACAATTTCATAGGCCCAGCTATGAAGGGCTAGAAGCCTACACTTTCTGATATAGCATCTTCATGTAAATCCATCAGGGACAATAGAAATATCTCCCCCAAGAATTGTTCTTTTCCCATAATATAAAGCTTTCATTCCACAAAGAGATTTGGAATTCAATGGTCTTAATTTTGCCATCTGTCAGAGGTGTAGTTGATGATAGTAGGTGTAGTTGATGGGACAGATTTTCTTTCTTTTCTCCAGAGAGCAGATTCTTGAAGTAGGAGCCCCAAGTCCTCTGCAATTAAGAACTATGTCAGCTAGTCTCAGAGGACTCCTTGCCATTCTATATTAGGGAACTGAAAAAGGTATTTTTTTTTTCAAAAATTGTCTTCAGAGTGTAAAGTGATTATAAAGAAATTCTAATTTTGATGTTAAAATCCTTGTGTCTATTGACTAATGTCTTCTGCTGAACATGTATTATCTGTTTAAATTACCTGGTTGAAAACTTTTATACAAAAAGCAGGAAATCCATCCTGACATTTTTAGACATGATAAGAAGCCCAAGAAAGGTGTGAGCAGCCCTGAGTGCCTTGGGTTCGTGTCTATAGTTCTGACTGGCACTGTGGCTATTATTGCATTACACTTCAGAAGTTGAATAATTGTCCCTCACTAAATTTTCTTAATGTTTAATACTTGATATCAAATGATTTTCCTTAACTGCTTGTTTATGATGAATCTAGTGGTGTCCGACACGTACGTAGAATGTTTCACCCAGGCCGGGGTTTGGGAGGCCCCCGTGCACGTAGATCAAACATGCACTTTACTAGCAGTTCCACTGGTGGGCTTTCATCTTCTCAGAGTTCATATTCTACAAGCAATAGAGAAACCATGGATCCTATAGCTGGTAAGAGCTGTAACCACCAATTTTAGTCCAGACTCCTTAAATAGACTTTGAAACAAAATCCAAAATGATAGTAGGTGCCTTGTTTTTCTATGTTTTAAAGTTGAGTGTGTGTATATGCTTCCTACTGTCATCATAATTGATGGATGTTTCCTGATGAGCAGTATCCTTGATTAAATTTTGTACCTGGAACTTTTGAAACAGAAAACACTGGCCTTTAGCTTGTGCTTTTCAATTAAAAGACTTTTAGGCATAGTTCACATGACTGACCTATTCACAAGTGGTATAAAAGTGTGGTTGAGGTTGGAAAGGACATCTCAGCATAATTTGGAGCAACTCCCTGTTCAAATAGGGACATCTAGAGCAGATTGTTAAGGACCTTGTCCAGTTGAGTTTTGAATATTTTCGTGGATGGAGACTACACAACCTTTCTGAACAACCTGTTTCAATATTTGACCACCTCACAGAAGGAAAGTGTTTTCCTGTCTTAGTTTCAGCTGGGGTGGAATTGTTTTCTTCAAAGTGTCTGGTATGATGCTATGTTTTGGTTCTAGGAGAAAACCAGATGAATTACAGAATGGTTTAGGTTGGAAGGGACCTTAAAGATCATCTAGTTCCAACCCCCCTGCCATGGACAGGGTTACTAACCTGGCCTTGAATGCCTCCAGGGGTGGGACATCCACAACTTCTTTGGACAACCTGTTCCAGTGCCTCACCACCCTCTGAGTAAAGAATTTCTGCCTAATATCATAGAATCATAGGATCGTTTGAGTTGGAAGGTACCCTTAAAGGTCCTCTAGTCCAATTTCTTTTTTTATTTTCTTCATTTTTTAAATTTGATTTTGTTTTTATTTTTTATGCAGTTACAGCTTAAAATAAAAATTAAAAAAAAAAAGTCAGATGTGTAATAGTACAAAACAAGCTGGCTTGGAGAGGGAAAAAACATTTTCTTTTGTCCTTCTCCAAGAAGCAGATGGATGTGCCTCCCAGCGCTCCTGTTGTCGATGCATCTTCCCCATTTCAAGGTTCTGAACAAATCCACAGTGAAGCATCACTTTGAAATGTATTGCTTTCAAGGCAGTGTGTGGTCTGTGCTGCCCTCAGAAGTTCCCTCTGTGAAGTACACCCACAGTCCACAGGGCAGAGGGATCTGTCCAACATGATTTAGTCAGCAGCTGAGTGCTGGCAAGCCACCATCTGTATCTGCACGTCAGCAGTCCCTGAGCCAAGGGAAGAGGTGAAGCTCTGTGAAGAGAGAGCGAGGGCTTCACATAGCTCCCATGCAGGGAGTGCCCCATGCCACCCCTGCAGTGATTCCTGTTCTGCTCCCTCTCCAGTCTGCACATGAGTAGCAGGGTTAAGTACTGTCTGCCTGCAGCTGCTTCCAAAGATGGGCTGCATGCGACCAATGGCTTACAAGGTTCATGGGGTTTGGGGGAGATGTGCATGGGAAGGTGGAAACTGGCCAGGTGGATGTACATGGTTGAAGGACTGGCATGGATGGAGGAGCTCAGAAATCCTGGAACTTGGCACTCCTGTCAAGCTGGAGGTTAGTCCAGAGTTTGTACATATGATCTAAGGCTCGAGTAAGGAAAGTCCCAACGGTGTTGATCTCCATGAATAGATTATCCATCTTGGCATGGGCTTCCTGTTACCAGATGAAGCTGTCTGCAGACAGCTGCAGCTTGGCCATCCATGCGTCCCATGTATCCTTCACCAACTTTTGAATCTTGTCAGCTTTGGGGATGTTATTTGAGGTATAGTTTAAGAGCAGCTTTGTGAATTCCACATAACAGAGGCTGGGCATGGGAGTGAAGGTGTCCTGGTATATTTGTCCCAAATTTTCTCCATGTCCATCCACTCCAGGGGAATCAGCTGGCATTTCTACCTCTGCTTCAGACTGATGGCCAACCAGACAGGCACTTACACCAGCAAACCAGGGTTGAAAGGACCCAGACCCCCCAGTTTCTTCTTGGCTAGGAACTCTGCTTCACTGACTCTATCATCTAGTTACAACTCCCCTGCCATGGGCAGGGTTGCCTCCCACTAAATCAGGCTGCCTTGAACCTCATCCAACCTGACCTTGAATGCCTCCAGGGATGGGACATCCACAACTTCTCTGGGCAACCTGTTCCAGTGCCTCACCACCCTCTGAGTAAAGAATTTCCACCTAATATCTAATGTAAATATTTTTCTTTAGTTTAAAGCCATTCCCCCTTGTCCTATCAATACCTGCCCATGTAAAAAGTCAATCTCCCTCCTGTTTATAGGCTCCCTTTGAGTACTGAAAGGAGTTCAGGAAGGGATCTTTAAGGTCATCTAGTTCCAACACCTCTGTCATGGACACTAGATCAGGTTGCCCAAAGTCCCATCCAGCCTGGCCTTGAACATTTCTGGAGAGGGGGCATCCACAACCTCTCTGGGCAACCTGTTCCAGTGTTTCACCACCATTATGGTAGTGAAACATGACTCACATGACTGAAGTGCTGCAATGGCTGGCTACAAACTCTTCAGGAAGGATAGGCAAGGAAGGAGGAGTGGCGGTGTGGCTCTCTATATTCTACAGTGCTTTGATATTACTGAGCTTGTGGCTGGGGATGATAAGGTTGAATCCCTATGGGTAAAGATCAGGGGAAGGGCTGACAAGACAGACATCCTGGTGGGTGTCTGCTACAGACCGCCGAATGAGGATGAAGAGACATGAGGTGTTCTACGAGCAGCTGGCGGAAGCTGCACGATCGCCAGCCCTTGTCCTCATGGGGGACTTCAACTTCCCCGACATATGCTGGGAATACAACACAGCGCAGAAGAAGCAGTCTAGGAGGTTTCTGGAGTGTATGGAGGATAACTTTCTGATGCAGCTGGTGAGAGAGCCTACGAGAGGAGCTGCCCTGCTATACCTGCTGTTCACAAACAGGGAAGGTCTGGTGGGAGATGTGGAGGTTGGAGGCTGTCTTGGACGGAGTGACCATGAAATGGTAGAGTTCTTGATTCTTGGTGGAGCCAGGAGGGGGAACAGCAAAACTGCTACCTTGGACTTCCGGAGAGCGGACTTTGAATTGTCCAGAAGGCTAATCGGGGGAGTCCCCTAGGTTTCAGTCTTAGAAAGTACAGGGGTCCAAGGTGGCTGGTTGCTCTTCAAGAAGGAAGTCTTAAGGGCGCAGGAGCTGGCTGTCCCCAAACCACAAAATGAGCCAGCAGGGAAAAAGACCAGTATAGATGAATAGGGAACTATTCTTGAGGCTCTGGGAGAAAAAGAGAATCTACCTCCTGTGGCGACTCAGAAAGAGTACAGAGAAGTTGTTAAGATGTGTAGAGAGAAAATCAGAAAGGCAAAAGTCCAGCTTGAACTCAACCTGGCCACTGGGGTAAAAAGGAACAAGAAACTCTTCTACAAATACATCAACAATAAGAGGAGGACTAAGGAGAATCTCCATTTACTGGATGAGGCTGGGAATGTGACCACTGAGGATAAGGAAAAGGCAGAGGTTCTGAATGCCTTCTTTACATCTGTCTTTAAAAGTCAGACCAGTTATCCTCAGGGTGCTCCACTCTCTGACCTGGTACAGGGGTGCAGACTGAACCCCCCACAATTCAGGAGGATGCAGTCAGAGACCTACTGCTCCAGCTGGACTGTCACAAGTCCATGGGGCCGGATGGGATTCGCCCAAGAGTGCTGAGGGAACTGGCGGAGGTGATAGCCGAGCTGCTTGCCATTATCTATCAGCGCTCCTTGTTGACTGATGAGGTCCCAGAAGACTGGAGGCTTGCCAACGTGACTCCCATCTACAAGAAGGGTTGTAGGGAGGATCCGGGAAACTACAGGCCTGTTAGCCTGACCTCGGTGCCAGGGAAGGTTATGGAGCAGATTGTCTTGAGGGAGATCATGCAGCATGTGCGGGATGACTGGGGGATCAGGCCAAGCCAGCATGGGTTCACGAAGGGCAGGTCCTGTTTGACCAACCTGATCTCCTTCTATGATCTAGTGACCTGTCTGGTAGACGAGGGAGAGGCTGTTGATGTAGTCTACCTAGACTTCAGCAAAGCCTTTGACACTGTTTCCTACAGCATTCTCCTGCAGAAGCTGGCAGCCCATGGCTTGTAGAGGAAATGGACCTGGGGGTATTGATTGATGCTCGGCTGAACATAAACCAGCAGTGTGCCCAGATGGCCCAGAAGGCCAATAGCATCCTGGCTTGCATCAGAAATGGTGTTGCCAGCAGGAACAGGGAAGTGATTGTCCCCCTGTACTCAGCTCTGGTGAGGCCGCACCTCAAATACTGTGTCCAGTTTTGGGCCCTTCACTGCAAGAAAGACATTAAGGCCCTGGAGTAGGTTCAAAGAAGGGCAAAAAAGCTGGTGAGGGGTCTGGAGCACAGGCCTTATGAGGAGCAGCTGAGAGAGCTGGGAATGTTCAGTCTGGAGAAGAGGAGGCTCAGGGGAGATTTTATTGTTCTCTATAACTACCTGAAAGGAGGTTGTAGTGAGCTGGGGGTCGGCCTCTTCTCTCGTGTAACTGGTGATAGGACCAGGGGGAATGGTTTCAAGCTGTGCCAGGGGAGATTTAGGCTGGACATTAGGAAATACTACTTTTCTGAAAGAGTGGTCAGGCACTGGAATGGGCTGCCCAGGGAGGTGGTGGAGTCACCGACCCTGGAGGTGTTCAAGGAACATTTGGACATTGTGTTGAGGGATATGGTTTAGTGAGAACTGTTGGTGATGGGTGGATGGTTGGACTGGATGATCTTTTAGGTCTTTTCCAACCTTGTTGATTCTATGGTTCTATGATCTGTAGTAAATAATTTCTTCCTTATATCTGTGGTTTAACCCAGCTGGTGGCTAAGCACCACGCAGTCATTCACTCACTCCCCCATTCCCAGTGGGATAGGGGAGAGAACTGAAAAAAACAAAGTAGAACTCGTGAGTTGAGATAAAACTATTTACTAAAATAGAGAAAAGGAAAAGGATAACTATTCTGACAAATATATATATATATACATATATATATATATATATAACAAATGATGCACAAGCAATTGCTCACTACCCACCAATCGATGTTCCCCCCAAGTAGTGGAAAACATTGACATGAGCTCCTACCTCCCTTCAGAACTCCTTCCACTTGATGTCATATTGTATGGAATATCCCTTTGGCCAGTTTATGTCAGCTGTCCTAATTCCGTTCTTTCCCAGCTCCTTGGGCCCTTCACTGAGAATGGCCTTGGTTCTGTACAACACTGCTTAGCAGCAACTATAAACATTGATGTGTTATTAACGTTATTTTTCTCCTAGAACCAAAACATAGCATCATACCAGACACTCTGAAGAAAACAATTGCATCCCAGCTGAAATTAATACACATCCCTTTCCTCTTGAGTATCAACTTTACCCTTATCTTGGTGTCATTCACAAACTTGCTGAGTCCCAGTGTCCATGTCATTGACAAAGATGTTAAATAATACCGGTCCCAATAAAGATTCCTGAGGAACAGCACTCATCAGTGGTTTCCACCTGGACATCAAGCTATTGACTACAACTCTTCCTCATCTCACAAGTGGTCCATCTGTGAAATCCATGTCTCTCCACAGTGTGAGACTGTATCAAATGCTTTGCACAAGTCTGAGTGGATGACATCAGTTGCTCTTCTCTTGACCACTGGTGCTGTCACTCCTTCATAGAACATCACTAGATTGGTCATTCATGATTTACCCTAACTGTGTTGAACGTCTCAAATCACCTCCTTGTCTTCCATATCCTTAACATAGTTTCCAGGAGGGAAGATCTGTTCTTTGATCCTCTCAGACAAGATGTGGCTGAGTGGTTGATAGTTCCCCAGATCCCCTTTTTAAAAATGAGTGTGATGTTTCCCAGTTACAGGTGACTTCGCTGTACTGCTATGACTTTTTAAATATGATGAAGAGTGGTTTGGTAACTACATCAGCCAGTTTCCTCAAGACCCTGGGATGCATCTCATCAGGCCCTATAGACTTATTTATGTTGTTGAGGTTCTTCAGGTAGTCTCAAACCCAATCTTTACTCACAGTGGGAGAGATTTCGCTCCCCAGTCTGTCTTGTGGTTCAGGGACTTCAGGGATGTGGGAAGAGTGACTGCCAGTGAAGACTAAGGCAAAAATATTATTGACTATCTCAGTCTTCTCCATGTCTGTAGTCACCAATTCTGCCATCTAATTTATCAGAGGAGTATATTCTATTTAGTCTTCCTTTTCTGACTAATGTACCTGTACAATCCCTTCTTTTTATTTGTATTCCTTGCCAAGTTCAGCTCCAACTGTTCCTTGGCTTTCCTGATCCCATCCCTACATATCTGGGCACCATCCTTATACTCTTCCCAGGCCACATGTTCCTGCTTCCACCTCCTGTGCATTTCCTTCTTACACCTCAGTTAGACCAGTAAGTCCTTACTCAATCATGCTGGTTTCCTTCCCTTCCTGCCTGATTTCTTACATGTGAGAATTGAGAGCTCTTGCACTCTCAGAAAGAGTTGCCAGCTCTGATCAGTTATACACATTGATAAGATGTCCCCCTTGAGCCTTCTATCTTCTATGCTGAAAAGTCTCAGGTCTCTTTACCTCTCTTCACATATACATAGATCATTCCAAAAGTAAAGCTTTTTATTTATTTCCATGGAAACTACAACAGATACAAAGAGCACAATAACACTATTTGATAGACCAAATTCTTGGCTACAAACCACTGTTTTTCAGCAGTCACCACCATGCTATGCATTTTTGCCAACAATGAACAATAGCCTGCATGCTGCACTCATAAAAATCTGCATGGACATGCAGAACATGGCTTGTCTTTCACATCATTGAGACCACCATCTCACTATGCTAACGTCCACTGTTTGGTCTCCATCAACATTCAGCAAATGTCAATGGATGTCAGTGAGTGCTATTTTTTTTTCTGCATATAGGAATTCAATTCCACACCTTTGCTTCATATGCACTTCCATGTCAGACAGCATTTTGTCAGATTGCCCCTTTGCTGCCATCTGTTGCACATCAACAAAATGTAATGGAATACTGTTGGGAAGGTTCAACCTCTACTGCCATACCACCAACATCCACCTGTGACATTGTGGGCCAACATAATAAAATAGGAGGCATTACTTTTGGAACAGCCCTCATATATGTATGTAGGTATTTTTAAATGTAATTGTTTCTAACCACCATTACCTACTTTAATGCCATTACTTTCTTCAGTGCATCTAACTTTAATTTGCTGTATGCACAGAGGTATTTAGAAATGAAGAATGTTATCTTTTTTAACATAAAGTGCTATACTTGAGTTCAGCAAGATGAAATTAGCTCAATTGGAATATTATTGATATGCATTTAAAAATATTAATTGAGAAAATCAGATTGCCATTTGAAATACAGACTTGGTGATTTTTAGGAGGCCTTATAAGTCTTTTTAAATTGTTAAGTAATTCTATTTTGTAAGCATTTTGTTTCATATTTTGGTATAGGAGGGTTGTGTTGGGCAAGATCTCTCATTTTTAACTTTCAATAATCATTGAGGCATGTTTTTAGTATTTACAGATATAATCTGTAAGTATTCAGCTTTGTGATTTTCAAAAATAATTTGTCTATAAAGAAATTGAAAAAAATGACAAGCTGTTTTTTAGTGAGTTAAGATAGGTCACGAGTCTGAAAAGCACTAGAGTTGGTGCAAGAAGGGAGGATGTTTGTGTGTCCTAGAGTGCAAGACTTATCGTTCAGCTCAGTGAAATGTGAAGTGACTGCCTTAATTTGTTTCAGTCTCACAAGGCCTTCCCATTTAGGAGCATAAAATGTGTAATAAAATGACTTTTCTTTGAGTCTTCTTGTTTGACTGTTTGAATTAATGTTGTTTTGCATTCAGTGACTGTAGTATAGTCTGGCTGGGTGTCTATCTCATACCAAGCCTGCGTATCAAGCTCACATCTAACAGTATATTGTTTGGCTATACACAAAGTAATTTTACAAAGTGAGGATAAGTATACCTGCCTTTCCTGGCAAAGTTATGTCTTTTTTTTTTTTCATTGGGGTAATAATTACTATATACTATCAGAAGTAGTGACTTGAGCATTTATTGTTTGCATACCAAAAGTTCCTGATACTAAGAGCTACTGTATCGGGCTTTATTTCCCTAAGAAATGTCTAGTTTCAAAGGATTTTATCTTGAAAGTAAGATGCAAGGAAATCTTTTATGTCTTATAATATCTTGCAGCTTTAATTATGGTTGGATTGATGGGGAACAAAATAATCTTCTGTCCTTCTTGCATCAAGCACAGCAAAGTAGTACTCACAACTTTGTGTGGAATATAATCTGTAATAAATCACTTACTGTTAACATTTATTTTGGGAAATGCTTAGCATGGACAGAATTTGTTGGTCTTGAACTTTGGAAGAAAGAAATTCATGCCAGACTTTATTTATTTATGATTGTTAACATTTCTCAATTTCAAACAAAGGTCAAAATGTACGCACAAAAAAAGCCTGCTCTGGTAAAATATTTCTAATGTCATACAGCATTTGAAAAAGCTTTCTGAAATAATTATTTCCCAGAAATGTCTGAAACAAGGCTGCAATATTTCTGTCTTTCTGAAACACAACTGTCCTCTGGAATATGCACTGAAGGTGCATATCGGGTGGAGAATAAAACTACGAACTGAATGGAGAATTGAAGTGTTTTCTTAGTCAATAACTATTTTGACTTGAAGATAACATTTTAGAGAATTATTGCACAGGATATTGCTTATAGGATATTCCCCATAGGTTGACTCTTATGGGTTTAAAAAGCTCTGAATCTCTTACGTACAGTTACTCTAGATGACTCTTAATCTTCCTTACCATATGGGCTTTGAGGCATGGGATACTGATAATGGATAGCCAATTAAGCTTTTTGAAATCAGTATGATTTGTTCACTAATTTATTGGAAGGCTTTAGAAATCAAAGGAATTAATATATTAGTATTCAGGACATATGTTGTTGAATTATATGTATATGTATTTAATCAAATTTCACTGTATAAATTTCTCTCCTGGCAGAACTTTTATCTCAGTTATCAGGAGTGAGACGTTCTGCAGGGCAGCTCAACTCTTCCGGCCCTTCTGCTTCTCAGTTACAGCAGTTGCAGATGCAACTGCAGTTGGAGCGGCAGCATGCGCAAGCAGCAAGACAACAACTGGAGACTGCACGCAATGCAACTAGACGCACTAACACAAGCAGCATCCCCACCAATCTTACACAGTCTATAGTAGCAACCAATTCATCTAACACAGAAAACAATCAGCAGACTACGCACAATTCCCAGTTTCTTCTTACAAGGTAACTTGTTCTGAGGGTTTAACTTTTCTGCCATTTCTGTTTTCCTTGGCCCTGTTAGAGACAGAACTCAGTGAAACTACTATGTGTTTAGTTAGGCATGTGCTTTAGTGTATCAAAATAGGCTCCTTAACTGCAGATAAATATATCCCAGGATTAATGGACTAATCAGTGAATTGTACAGAATACGCTCGTGTTAGAGGTCAATAATTGTTGCAGAATATCTGTAATTCATAACTCTATATAAAAAAAAAAAATTCACACTTGAGTGCAGCACCATTAAAAGCAATAAACTTCATCCACTGAACTGTTCTTAAACCTGATTATGCTGTACTTAGAGATGTGGTAGTAGCTTGTACTTTGTTACAATTTTCAAAATATTAGAATAATGTTAAATAGCACATCTTGTTGTGTACTGTAATCATAAGAATGTGATGTTTGGCATTTTTTCAGTTTATGTATTAGTTAGGTGTTTATGTACAGACATAATATAGTCAGAAAAATTAGATCCACACCATTAGGAGTAAAGCAAAACCAAGGAAATATTATCTGAGTAGTAGCTTGTAGCTGGCCTGAAGGGAATTCTTCTGTTTTCAGAAAGCCAACTCCCAAGAGTTGGCTGCAGAAATAGCCCATGGAGTCTCAGTGTTCGTGAAAGTGAGACGCAGTCTCACAGTCATGCTGCATTTCTTCTACGTGTCTAGGAATGTATTTAAAGCTTTAGATTGGAAAATGGATTAGTTGTTTTCTGCAGACCTTGGAAATGAGGTTAGTCTTATAACTTGAGCTATAGCTTTATCAGCTGCTTATAGTTCCAGCCATGGATCTACTTCTGACAGATACCTAATGAAGTTTATAGTTTAGATACTATGTTTTTTGCACTTGTAACATCTCTTTTTCAAACCTGCTGTATGTCTGCTCCTTGGCAATTAATAAATGTTACTTGCTATTTCTCAATTTCAAGAGAAACATAAGGAATATTACTTTTTCAGTTGGATGTTGGGAAAGAGCACAGATATTTAAACAGTTGCTGTGTCTGTATACATTTTTTGGGGCAAATTATTGCTATCATGCTGATTTTTATATAAACTCATAATAGTATCTCAAAAACTTTTTGAAAATAATAACTTTAATGAAAGTATCTGTAAATTTCAGTACTGATCTTGTCAGCTAGGGTAAAACTGAAGCAAGTAATTTCCTTGCTTCTATTAGGTGATGGTGCATGCATGTACTGTGCTTTGGTAATCTCTGTGCATTGTGTGAAATGATGCATTTTATGTCAGTTTTGAATTTAGAAGTTGTACTGGGGACAAAACGAGCACTTCAGGGATGACTAGAGAATTTTAACACTCTTTAAAACAAAATCACTCTGAAGGGTAAGAAACTTTGGAAATAGCTACTTTTTTCCTTCAGCCTTAGAATCCACTTCTATTATGCTTTTTTGTAGTAACTAGGAGCAAGTTTTTAAAATGTCTGTATTCTTGTTGCATCAGGAGTTTCAGGCATTGTCAGATATGTATATGTCAACAGAAGCATAGCAGTACTCTTGGCTGGTTCCAAAAAGAATGAATTTCAGATGTTATTCAACATTCATCAGTCCAGCTGCTAGACTTAGTAATAACAAAATGGGCTTTCACTAACTGCAGGTGTTCTTTCTTTCTATGCCACTATGCAGGTTGAATGACCCTAAGATGTCAGAAGCAGAGCGTCAGTCAAAGGAAAGTGAACAGGCAGACCGTAGCTTATTTGTTCAAGAGCTTCTACTGTCCACTCTGATGCAGGAAGAAAGTTCCTCCTCAGATGAGGATGAGCAGGGAGAATTTGCTGATTTTGGTGCTATGGGATGTGTAGATATTATGCCACTAGATGTTGCTTTAGAAAATCTAAATTTAAAAGAGAATAATAAAGGAAATGAGCCTCTTCCGCCTCCTCTTTGATGGCATCTCACTTTGCAGACAATGTCCTCTGTGCTGTATTTGCCAATGAAAGTGGACAACAACTATCTTGGGTTTGTTTTTGGTGATGTATTTCAAGTCTGTCACTCTTGTTACATTGTGTACATTCAGAAGAAAAGCAAAAAGATATATATGATAATCATTTCCACTTAACTAATTTTTACTATTAGCAGGTAAATATAGGTTGCAGTGCAGAGAGAAAAGCTCTGTGTCCTGTAGCTTGACATGCAAAAAGCTCTCCTAAATCTCTGCATTCAAATGGAAGGGGGGGGGAAATGAAAAATCTCTAATGAAGCTGCTGTGTGTATTTATGAATATTAATGAATAAAAATTGCTTGAATGGTTTACCTTAACTACTGCATGATGTTTTTTGCAACGTGCATGAGTTTTAGTGACCTTATCATTTAAAACAATTAAAACATACAAGGAGTAAAGCTATAAAATCCCAGCGCTTTCCCATTATTCGAAGATAATGTGACAGAAAAGATTAATGTTCACTAGCAGTTTGTGGCCATGAAATAGCCTATCAGTAACATATGACCAATGACTTTTCTATATTCTCTCCCAGTGTATTAATGCAAACTCAGCAGTGGGCTGTGTTGTTATTTCCAGGGTGTGATGATATGCTATATTGTAATCAATATGTTGCCCTGTTTGACATCATAACCATGTAGAATTCAATTTTATATACATATGCAGGAAACAAAAAAAACAAGAGCCACTACTGGGAATCTACCACAAAGGGCTTCTGTGTGCCCTAAAACTAAATTTTGTTCACCATTATTTAAAGCTTCCTTTTTTGTGGTTAATTTCTTTTAACTGTTAAATATACTTTATTCAAGTGTAGATCATGCATATATTCACTGTTGTGGGGGATAAGTTAATCTGGATTATGTTGTCTTAGTTCTAAGCTTTCACAGTCTTTCTGAGTTATCAGTATCACAATCATTTTGAGTTATTTATGTATTTGCTTCGTAGTTTGCAGAGAATTCTCGGTATCAGGAGAGCTTGAGGATCTGATTACCCAGATACTTCCATGTGTTATAATTGAATTATTAATGCTAACTTCCTATCAGCCTTTATTTATTGGGGTTTCGGGTTATATTTCTGATATAAAAAAATAAAGCCTTTTTAATTGAGTCACGACACCTACTTGTCTACACTGTTAATCCTATATGTTTTTAAATAAGGTTTTTGTTTTTTCATGGATTATTATAATATCCCCAAAACAAGAGACAACAAGGCTTTGGTTATTTGGAATATAAAGTTAGATTATGAAGGCAAAAGTGCACACAACTTCTGATTAAGTTAGACTTGAAAACTACGTTGTCACTAATGACGTTCCAAAGAGATCCGATATGTTATACTAATCTAAGATAACACCAAAAAACCCACCCCCCACAGGTTGAAACTTCAGTTCCATTCTAATTTCCGAAAATGTTTTAAGGTAACTTTTTGCACTAATCTTCTGATTATCTCAGGATTTGCCCACAGTAGGAACTTATGAGCTTGTTGAAGTTCAAGAAGCATCTGGACGATATAATCTGATTTTTGGGTGGTCCTGTCTTGAGTCAAGAGTTGGACTTGATGATCCTTATGGGTCCCTTCCAACTTGGGATATTCTATGATTCTATGATTGTTGAGGATTTAAATAAAAATCAAAACACAGACTATTCAGGCGCATCTTCTGCACATTAAAAAACAGCAACAACAAACCCACAACAAAACAGTTCAATAAAACATTTTAAGGACTGTTGTTCTGTTGATGTTTTTATTATGATGTACTATCGAGATAGCTACAGAAGAAATTCTGGAATGAAACTCCTTCCCAGTGGAATGCAAAAGCATTTCATGGACAAAGCCTTAGTGATTTACATAAACATTTCCTGTTGAAGTGCATATTTTCTGCAGTACATGCAGCAATGATTAACTATGTAATATTACAGCTTCATAGTTATGTGCATTAAATTCCTAGAAAATACGTTTTTAAAATCTTCTCAATGAACATTGTTATTTAAAAATCTGTATATAGCTGGTCTATTGAGGATGTTTACATTGCAGAGTTTGTGAAATCCATTATGCTTCTACATAGCATAGAATCACAGAACATAGAATAACCTGACTTGGAAGGATCCCACAAGGATCACTGAGAACTACTACTAGCTTCACACAAGACTACCTAAAAATTAAACCATACGATTTACAGCATTTTCCAAACATTCAGCCTAGTTCCTCGACAACAGAGCAACGAAACCCAGAGATCCATACCCTAGGGAAGAGAAAAGGTACGGAGAGGGGCCTAGATGAAGAAAACAGCAGCAACGAGCTAAGGGAAAAACTTAATTTAGTAAATATATGTCATGGTTCTATGTTTTTTGTTTTTGTTTTTGTTTTTTGTTTTTGGGTTTCAGTATTCCACATCAAAACATCATGTAGTGTACGGGGCATTAAAGTGTCACTGCCCCAATCCCAGGTACCTATCCCTGTACATTACAGCAGTCACGGGATCTGGCCCTTCCGGGTGGGGGGGGCGCTCTCTTGCTGCCTTGCAGTGGGTGCTGGAGGTGCTTTCCTGGCCGTTCCAAGCTTTTCAGGTTTGACTCGGTCCCGGGAACTCTCTCTCTCATCTTGTCTGATTTATTAATCTCAATTTCAATTAAATTGTATATATATTGTGTTATCTTGTATTCCAATATTCTAGTAAAATAAGTTTTCCTCCATAGATTGTTGCCGCTGCTCTTTTCCTCCCTTCCTTCCTTCCCATTTTTGTGGGACTGGGGTGGGGGGGGAGGGCAGAGGCCTGTTGCCCCTCTGTCACGGACATAGATTGATCGGGTCAACTCCGTGACAGATTTTTGGCGCCTGAACAGGGGCTCGAGCTGCTTTTAGCTTTTAGAACGAATCTTTTTTTTTTTTTTTCTCTCTGCTCTTAGAGAGCTTCGTTAGGGAGCATTATCAGCAGTTCAGGTTTCTGTGCTGGAAAACCTGACCTTGAAAGATTAGGCGTACTGCCAGTGTTCTGGGATATTTGTAAACTTTGAGCACTACTTAGTCTGGGTAGTGCCTTTTTTCTTTTTTTTTTTCCCTGCTCTTGTTAGCTTCAATTCATTAACCCCTTTTTAGCAAGCACCAGTGATGAACCCACTCGTTATCGTGGGGGTGCTGGGTAAAGGATTTAAAGCAATGGTGTTACTCACAACCTACTGGCCAATAATCCATCTTGCACTTACGTGTTGTGGAATTGCATTCATATATAACTACCTAAGGGCACTGATGGAGACACCTATGTTTTACCTACTTGCAATGTGGTATGATTTGAACTTTGACATCTACATCCCAGAAGGAATGGCTAATTTCACAAACAACTACATCCCAAATGGAGTAGCTAATTTCACAAACAGCTACATGCCAAATGGAATAGCTAATTTTACAAACAACACGACGTTCAGACCAGTCTCCGGGTTTTCTTCTCGGTTTGTCAAACGCTTTACGAGTCTTTAATTAATACTCATGTTGTTGTTGTTGTTCGTGTCATCAATTCTCCTAAATGTACTCCAACGCATTCATAATAAGGAGTCTTCCCCAAAACTAGAGAATGATGACTGGCAGGGAATATGGAGAGGTTTAGGAAAGGTCTTAGAAGCATGGGGACCCGCAGTGTCATGGGATTTTACTCTCGAACACCTGTGGGATCCTGAGAAACTAAGCCAGTATTTGAGTCAGGGACGATGCGGCTTACACAAATCTAAGGAGGTACAACTTATTTGGGGTTTGGCTCGTGCTTACCGTGCCCTATATAATACCATTCTGGAGAGAGAGAGTTTCCAAGCTGAGGTTCAAGCCAAAGGGGAAAATCCCCAAGTCAAATCTAATCGATCACAGGAGTCACCAGTAACAATACCAGTTGCTCCTGTGGAGGGCAAGAAATGGAAACGAGTGTCTTCGCGTCTTGAACGAAAAAGAGAAGAGGAGGAGGAGGTGGAGGAAGATCCAGGCGAGGGGCCCTCCTCAGAACCACCACCATCGCGAAAGGCAAAAGGGAAAACGAAGAGACGTGCAGAAGAGAGTGATGAAGAGGAAGTCTCTATTACTACTCGCCGGCCTCTAAAGATGACTGAAATCCAAGGTTCAAGAAAGGAGTTCACACGGCGCCCGAATGAAACTCTTGTTTCCTGGTTGGTTCGCTGTTGGGACAGTGGGGCCCATAGCTTGTCTCTGGATGGTAATGAAGCTCGCCAACTGGGTGCCATTGCCAGAGATCCAGCTATTGATAGAGGAATTAGTCGATGTTCGGATGAGGCTGCCTCCCTCTGGGAACGAGTGTTAACAGCCGTGAAGGAAAAGTATCCCTTCAAAAATGGCTTGAAGATTGCGATGAAGAAATGGGATACAGTTGAAAAGGGTATCCAGTATTTGAGGGAAATAGGCGTGGTGGAAATGTTGTATGACCCTGACTTTGTTCCTAACCACCCACACCAAAACCGCGACCCTGAAAAGGTGAGGACAACGCCTGAGATATGGCAGAAAATCGTGACAACAGCGCCGGACAAATATGCCGCTACACTGATGTCAGCGTGTGACAGATTCAACGAACAACAGAGAATGCCCTTAGTTTATGAATTAATTGTTACGCTCCAAAACTACGAACAATTGCTGTCCCCAATTCATGCTGCCGTTGCTGCTATATCAAGAATGATGACGGAGCAAGTGTCTCAACTGATTAACCGTGACAAACCTGTAGCACTATCAGAGACGCTTGATGAAGATCAGGATAATCAAAAGAGTCTAATGAAGGAGATCAAGGAGATGAAGGAGATGATGTAATTTTGCGAGCCCACCTAACTAAAGGCGATGAACCTTCCTTCTCACGTGCACCATCAAAGATCTCAGCTGTTAGAAGCAAACGCTCTCCGGCTCAAGTAAGGGGTAATACACCGCGAATTGCCTTATGGTATTACCTATGTGACCATGGAGAAGACATGGGGAAGTGGCACGGTCAACCTACTCCTGTACTACGAGTCCGGGTGAAAGAATTACAAAGCAGATCAACCACCAGTGCAGTTGCTCCAGTTACCACAGGTAATGAATAGGGGGGCCCTGCCCTCAGTCAGGAGGGGGAAAGAGATAATAGAGTATATTGGACTGTGTGGATTCGATGGCCTGGCACATCAGAACCACTGAAATACAAGGCACTGGTGGACACTGGTGCACAGTGCACTCTGATGCCTTCGAGTCACCAAGGGACAGAATCAATCCATATTTCTGGAGTGACCGGGGGCTCTCAAGAATTGACTGTGTTGGAGGCTGAGATAAGCCTCACTGGTAAGGACTGGCAAAAACATCCTATTGTGACGGGCCCAGGGGCTCCATGTATACTAGGTATTGATTATCTCAGAAGGGGGCATTTCAAGGATCCTAAGGGGTATCGATGGGCCTTTGGAATAGCTGCTGTGGACACAGACAACATTAAGCAGCTGTCTGTTTTGCCTGGACTGTCAGAAGATCCATCTGTTGTGGGGCTGCTGCGGGTAAAAGAGCAACAGGTACCGATTGCTACAAAAACGGTGCACAGGTGTCAGTACCGCAACAACAGGGATTCTTTGCTCCCCATTCATAAGTTAATTCGTCAACTAGAGAGCCAGGGAGTGATCAGCAAAACTCACTCGCCTTTTAACAGCCCCATATGGCCAGTGCGTAAAGCCAGTGGAGAATGGAGGCTGACGGTGGACTACCGTGGCCTGAATGAAGTCACACCCCCACTGAGTGCTGCTGTGCCGGACATGTTAGATCTCCAGTATGAACTGGAGTCAAAAGCAGCCAAATGGTATGCCACCATTGACATTGCTAATGCCTTCTTTTCCATTCCTTTGGCCAAAGAATGTAAGCCACAGTTTGCTTTCACATGGAGGGGCATTCAGTATACCTGGAACCGTTTGCCCCAGGGGTGGAAACACAGCCCAACCATTTGCCATGGGTTGATCCAAACTGTATTGGAACAGGGCAGTGCTCCTGAGCACCTGCAGTACATTGATGACATCATTGTGTGGGGCGATACAGCAGAAGAAGTCTTTACAAAAGGAGAGCGAATGATCCAAATTCTGCTGAGTGCTGGTTTTGCTATTAAGCGAAGCAAAGTGAAAGGACCT